TAAATTTGTTGGCTCAGTTATCGTATTAGAATTTTTAAGTCAAAAACAGCTGGCCTTCAGTGTGGTATGGAGGGAGAAAGGAAAGGAATCAGTAGACTTTCAGTTCCTGTTGTGACATCTCTATTTAAATAGTTTTGGTTAGTGTTCACTTTTAAATCTGATACTAATGGACTTTCATGGAAATTAATTAATATGTTTTAAAAAATGATGTTACCTTAAAAATGTAAATTAGAATCATAGAAATAATAAGATGGTCTCAGAGCTCAGTTTGTAAGCATTTGAACAGTCTGTATCAAGGCAGAGAGGATGGTTCTAGTAGTGTTTTGTCATTCATTCCCATTAATAGTCTAAAGAATTTTGTTGTTACTAATTCAAATGTTCCTTCTTAGTGAATATTCATTCAGTAAAACACAACATCATTGGATCACATTTCCAGTATTTTAGTTTACCTACTAACGGTTCAAAACATGATATATCTTTTTGAAACAATGTCACGATTTGGCACAGAAGTCTATTTACACGCGAGCTTGTTTCATTTGCCATTTATTCCAATAACTTGAGAACAATTATTTGCAACTAATTCTAACAGTATTTGTACAAGTACTTTCAAGCTAAAATACTGCTAAAAAATGCCAACACACATGCAATTCAACATGTTTACATAATAACATATATTTATTATCAAACCTGTGACTCTAAGCACTTCAGAGAATGTGAATACAGGAGCCACTTTACCCTCCACTGAGACATGGGCACATCTGAGAGAGGAGACACTGCTGAGCCCAACAGTCCTGGGTTCAACCGAGTTGAAATGGGTTGGCTGCCCTCGTGGTTCAGGAACGCTCCCGCACCATCTCAGAACTGCCCCATAGCTCCATTCACACGGAACTGCAGCAGACTTTCAAGTGTAAGCCCTTAGCAACCCAGAAACTGGTAGCACAAGCAGTATTGGCAAAACACACTTATGCCCGTGGGCTTCGTTTTAAGCAAAGTCGATACTGAAAATCCAAACATACAAAACAGATAGTGAATATGGCATTATAAAATGGTTTTCTGCTTTATAAAAGGATCCACAAGTTTCCTCTAAGTAGCAGCTCCCCTAATGTGTTTAAAATACAATTTGATTTACAAAACTTCAATTTACACGTGACTTTTGGCACAACCATTGCGAGAAGCAAAGTATACCTATATGTAGTACTTAATTTTCTCTCTCAGTATTACGGTGTTTTATCAGGTTTTTTTTTTTTTTTTAATTTGGTAAAAGACACTTAAACCAAAATATTTTATTTTAAGCCACTGAAGTATAAACACTGCCTCTAAAACCTGGATAGTCCAGAGACTTGAAGTACATGTGTGACTTTATATTTACAATCTCAGTACTCATCTTTACAACGTAGAGCTTTAGATAGCACAAGTATATAGCTAGCTGTCTTCAGGCCATAATAATAGGACCTATTCTGCAGAAGTTTCGATTTTTTTTCTTTCTCCTTTTCATCTGTGTAACTCTAAAGAGCTATTTAATGGAGGTTATACTTGTAGCTAGGCCACTGAAGATATATCAGTTGTGTACTGCACAGAATCACCTTTAAAAACCCAACCTCCTGCATTTCTATGGCCAGTGCCAACTCTGGGTGATTGTCCTTCAGGTAAGGGTCTCCTTTATTAGCACTAAGCTCCTTGGGGTGGGGGCAGAGATCCTGTCAACTACATCTCTTTGTCCCCTCCAGCACGCAGCACAGAGCCTGGCACTCAATAAATATTGAGTGAATGAATGTAGAGAACAGATTGGGACAACTATCTGGAAGGCTTTCTGCACTCTGGCATCCAATTCAGTATGTTTCTTGAATGTGTACAGTCAAAATGAATTTCCAGAGCCTGAGAGATCACAGAACCTGTCTGTCATTCTTTACACTCTCTGGGAAATCCATAAAATACTGAGCCCTTGATGGCACAGAAACATGAAGTCATCCTAAAGGTCACAGGGCAAAGCAGAGGAACGTGAAGGGTCATTTCCTTGCTCACCAGTGGCTTCAGGGAACTAACAAGGCCCCCAGGTTGACCAAAGTCCAGAACCAAATTAGACTTTTGGCAACTGTGTCCAGACTGAGAAGTGGTACTTTTGACTGTTTCCATACAAATGTAGCCACATTATATCCAGAAACAGTGCAAGCAACTAATTAAGAGCTGGAACCGAAAGGAATTACCATTTGCCATTTGTAGGGCCAGACTTATAGGTCTGTTCCAGACAGGGATCGAGAGAGACTGCATTCTGTTGGCTGGTGCTCACACCCATTACAAACTGTGTGTGACAGTGAGGAAGCTAAATCCAGCTGCAGGAGATGAAAATTAAAATCCAAAATAGACTACGTTTCAAAGCACTTGAATGGATAAAACAAAACAATATAGTCAATGGGGATAATAGGAAGAAAACTGAAAAGTATGTTTGTGAGTGCGTTAGAAAACAAAGCTTCAAAGTATAGGGTGGGTGTACTATGATTTTAAATGAAATAATCTGAGCTGCATTCAAACAATTTTGTCTTGAAACCTACTGCCAACAAAGTACAAATCTAAGAAGCATGAAGATCTATAATTAAACCAGAATCATTTAGCAACAGTTTATGAGTTTGAGTTCTTCCAGGAGGCCTCTGTAAAATCGTGGAACTAAATGAACTTGAAGCTCTCCTTCCGATTAATCAATTAATTTTTCTGTGGACAACAGTATTTTACAGAGTGACTTTCATGAGAATTGGAACAAACACAGAAATGGAATCAGTCAGTCCGGAGTCCGAGTCAAACACTTTAAGCCTCAAAACTGTCAATAGAATATATTGCTAATCTGCCTTCAGAAACACTTGTCCAATACCTACCTCTGTCTTCTGTGTTTGCCACTGCCCCCAATGAATGCAGCCAAGGGCAGACTTCTGAAACTCTGTGGCACGTGATTCCTTCTCTCAAAGGCCAGATGCTTTCCAGAATCTATCCCCAAGTTCCACTAGGGTATTACTCTAGCTCTTCTGTGAACTGCAAAATCTCTGACCATTCATTATCTTGTAGATTTCAACCCACCATTTTCCACTTTGATCTAATGGATTTCAATAAGAATTATGATCTCTAATCAAAGAATGAACAAACACGTTAGCTTGTCACCGTAGCGATTCAGAGATTTTAGGTTGCAAAAGGCATTTTCCCCTGAATGCCCTTTAAATGTGTATACACACAATTACCTTCTACTTTTTTTAAAAAAAAGCTATTTGGCACCAGTAATTAATAATCCAAATAATTTGGATTTAAGGGATTTCTCATTGCAAGCCTATCACACGAGTTGTTCACAGTGACAGCCAATGTACTGTTAGTCATTTTAAAGCTTTAAAAGTAAGTTATCAGGATCCACTTCAATCTCCACATGATAATAAAGGATTATTATGTGCAGTAACCTATTTATGAAAAGGAAACAGTGTGCTTCTTTCAGACGCCATCAATTGCTTTAATAAGGAATTGAAAAGCTGGACTACTTTATATGCAGATCACCATCCCAGTTGCATAAGGATTTACAATAGACAAAACAAAACTATTTTCTGTTGTAAAGAAGGGCTGTTTGTTTAAATCACACAATAACGTTTGCATCTAAAAATTATTTACAGGCTGATAAGGCTTCATCAATGTTATATGGACTTAGTCAATAAAACCATTTTAATGACAAAACCAAAAGCAAAGGCTTGTTCCGGCTGACAAGGTGAAAATCGAAGTAAAGCATGCCTGCAGAAGGCAGAAGCCAAAGGAAGCTGCCTTTCTCGCTCCTTAAGGAGGAATTGATTTGGAGATGCAAAGGGGACGTGGTTTGCCAGCACCCCATAACGTGTCAAAAAACCCAGGAGGAAAATGCTATTTCTCTGAAAATGTGAAACTTGAGAAGGACTCTGAGTCTAGTCTTTGCTCCTGAAAGAAAGAAAAAGTAATGTGTACATTGGGCTCTGCTGCCTTGAACTTGCAGAGAACTTGCTTGGGAAGTTTGAATCCCACCTTTGAAGTCTTCCTTGATGTACTGAATGGCTCCTATGTCTTTATTAAATGAGGTGTGTGGCGGCCTCTACTGGTGTGTGTTTATAGAAAATGTCTCAATAGGCAGAAAAAATACTAATTTCAATTAAAAAGTTAGAAATACAGGCTTTTTCATTTAAATGTATAAAAATATCTAATTTAATGCAGAAAAAATATATTACAAGTTGTGTAATGTACTCTGAATTAGGAAAATAATCTAAAATACTGAGCATGTTAGTGTAAAATAATGATTATGGAAGGGCATTAATTGTTCAATTCACTCTGATATTGGGTTAAATATATTTTATTAATGAATTACTAATCCCGACTGAGGAGGTGTATGACCTCGAGTCCACTGTTAAATCCCCTTAGTTGACTTAAATAAAATCACTGAAAACAAACTCAGAGGAAAGGAAATATTTTACAGTTAACTCTATAAAGTCCTAAACTAGAATTGTTTTGATGACAGGCTGGTTTCTATGACTCAAGCAAACGATACTTTGATTTAACATAGCTGACATATCCATCTATTTTACAGTATTTTTAAATTCAAAAATACAACACATTAAAATATGTTCAATTTATCAAAGCTAAAAGCAACATTTAAGTAATGTACTTAAAGTGCAAAGGCACTTTAACACAAAGGAGTGATGCCCATCGGCTATACTTGGGAACTGAAGACAGAAATACTTTATCTCATTATTTACAAAAGAAGTTATAGTCCCCAAAGATCTTTGGAGATCTTCTACAAAATCCACTAAATGTCTATTTTCCCTTGAAAAGTTTGCCTACTCTTTCTCCATTCACTAGAATCTTCTCTTTCCATTCCCACACTGGACAGAAAAAAGAAGCAAAAGGAAATCAAGCCACAAACCAAACATGAACAAACGCAGTGGAGAAACACTGATGTTCAATGATGGCTCCTAAGAAGGGAGGGGGGGAGGAGAGGGCGAGGGGGTGGGGAGAGCAAGAGAAAGAGAGAAATAATTTAAAGGAAAACTTGCAACAGCGGAATCCTCGCTTCCCCCTGCCCCCAGCGTTTTCACAGGCCCCCCGTGAAGCTGGGAAAGACAGAACACAAACACAAAAGCCGAGGCGCCGCTTCCGACAGTTCACAGTAGCAGCCTTTGATGCCATAGGGTTGTAAATGATTTCCCTTCACAGCTGACTGATGGCAGTGCGTTTTTCCAGAACTTCCAGGTAGTCCGGTTCTGACTGCGGCTTAGCTTGCAGTAAAGGGTGGTCGGGTTTTGACTGCCCTGCAAAGCACTTCCTGGGAGTTCCATATAAAACGGTTTTATTGATTCTGTCTAGGTTTTGGCGTCGAGATTCATAGGAAGGGGCGAACTGCCTCTTGGGTAAGGTACAAAAGTTATAGTGGACGAGGCCGGTGCTGGGGAGCTCCTTGGCGCGCTCGGCAATGTTCTGATAGAGCAGCTCGGGTTCGGTGGGCGCCGCCTGCTTGTCCAGCAACTCGGTGGCACTGATGGTGTAAGCCAGTGGGGCTGGCTCCTCTTTCTTCTCCTCCAGGTTGCTGTAGCTGAACTCTTGCAGGTTGCGGTAATAGGCCACTGGGTCCCCTTCCTTCTGCATGTAGATGGGGTTCTGGCACATCTGGCCCACGGGTGGGGGGATGTAGTTGTAGACGTGGCCGTCCGTTTTATCGTGAGTCTCCGAGTTGTAAGAGCCATACTGTAGCTGGAAGGAACTTACGTCTAAGTTGTTGGCACTCCTGGGAACATTTGGCACCCCCTTTCGGCGTTTCAGGACAAAGACGAATAAACCAGCGCCAAAACAGACGGATAAGATAAAGACAACCAGCAACCCTAAAATAAGGACGGAAAGTGGAACTTCCGTGTGGAGTTCCGGGTAGGAACTGGGAGACACACTCAGGGACCGAGGTGTGTCCGTGTGGTGGCTCATGGACAGAAGGCTGTCATCATCGGGTAGGCTGGGGCTGTCTGGACAAATGGCCTCCCTCCCCAGGAACTTCAGGATCTCCCCTGCGTGCTTAGCGGGCGACTCGCAGGTCACCTCGTTGATGATGACAGGGGAGCTGGCATGCTCAGTCCAGTCCTTTAGCCCCATAATGTCACAGGTGCAGTCCCACGGGTTCTCTTGCAGATCTATCTGGATAAAAGCGGGGAGCTGATCCAGAACCCCTTTGACAGGCAGGTGAGAGAAATGGTTGTTTCTCAGATTCAGCCTGGTGAGGGCCGTGCCCCCAAATATGTTATCAGGTAAGGACCGGAGCAAGTTGTTGTTCAGAAACAGCAGCTGTAGGTTAATCAAAGCATCGAAAGTAAGTGGCTTAATTTCTTTGATGACATTATACTCTAAATAGAGATACTGCAAGCTCTGCAGTCCATCAAACATGGCCGGATAGAGCACCTCAAGGTAATTGCCATTCAGATACAGTCTGCGTAAACTGGTCAGGTTTGTGAAGGCACCCTCCTGAATGACTGCAATCCTGTTGTTTCCTAAATGCAACAAATCCAAAGAACTGTATTCTAGGAGGTCAGTCTTATAGACAGTCTGGAGATAGTTCCCCGTCAGGTAGAGTTTCTTGGGACTCGTAGGTTTGGGCTGCAGGTCGGAGATATTTGTGAACTTCCTTTCTTGGCAGTTGACGTTCAGACCGTTGTCTGAGCTCTGGGAGGTGCAGACACAGCTACTGGGGCAGGTGAGGGGCACAGGGGACTTGGTCTGGTACACCATGATCGGGCCGAAGCTCTGCCTGTCCTTCGACACAGTGACCCGAGGAGTCGGACGGGTCCTCATCTTGGGTGGCCGGCTGGCTTTTGGAGGCCTGGTCGGGTTGAGAGCAGGGTTCACCGTAGGGGCCAGCCTTTGGACGTGGGTATCTGCGTGGTTGCCCCTCTGACCGGGGTCGCTGGCACTCTTTCTGGGGCAGAGGTCTTGCCTGGTCAGCTGGGTCACATCTTTCCCATGCAGTCTAAAGGGAGTCTCGCAGACAATCTCCCCGACGAAAACGGTGATGGTGTCCAGCCACGCCTTGAGGGGAAGCAAGTCACACGTGCAGTTCCACGGGTTCTCCTCCAGCTGGATCTCCATGATGCCTCCGATGTGCTCCAGGACGCCAGCGAAAGGCATGACTTTCAGCCTGTTGCCCCTCAGGTCTAAGTGGGTCAGCAGGACGAAGCGGAACACGTTGCTGGGCAGGGCCGGCAGCAGGTTGTCATTGAGGATAAGCACTTTGAGCCTGTGCAATTTGCTGAAGGCTCCGGCCTCGATGGCGCTGATGTAATTGTAGTCGGCCTGGAGGTACTCCAGGCTCTCCAGGCCCAGGAAGGTGTCCTCCCTCAGCACCTCCAGCTTGTTGTTGTTGAGGTGCAGTCTCTTGAGGGTTTTGAGGCCGCTGAAGGCCCCGGTTCGGATCTCCTGCAGCCCATTGTTCCCCAGGTGGAGGGTCACGGCATTGGAGTAGTTGACGAATTCGTTGGGGTACAGTCTGGTCAGCAGGTTCCCATTGAGGAAGAGCTGATAGATGCGGTACTGGGGGGGCTGGAGCAGGCTGACGGTTGTAAATCCTTTGTTTTCACAGTTAATATTCAGAACGTTCTCCTTTTCTTCACACAGGCAGCGGATCTTGCAAATGTCTTTGGCAGTTTTGCGACTCTCCGTCTGTAAGATCCCGGCCACGGTTAACACACTGAGGACCCAGACGCCGCTCAGCATCTTTGGGCACCGTCGGGCTCAGCTCTGGCACCTGCAGGCAAACCTTGTGGGGAGGGCGGCAGGGAGCGGGTGCGGGGAGAGAGACAGAAGGAAGGAGGCCCGATTAAAACTGCGGAGCCTGGAGGAGTGGGAGGCAGGGAGAGCGGTGGGCGACGCCCGGGCTGGGGCCGCGGCTGCCGAGCGGCG